ACCTACCTACCTACCTATCTACCTACCTATCTACCTACCTACCTACCTACCTACCCACCTACCCACCTACCCACCTACCTACCTACCTACCTAACCTACCCACCTACCCACCTACCTACCTACCTACCTACCTACCTACCCACCTACCTACCTACCTGATGTCTGACCGCCAACCGCTATTTGCTTAACTATGATACTTATCTACCTACCACCATCCAAACACCAACCGAACTACCGAACTTTTTATCAACAATTTACTTTTTTACCTTGGACACACTCATCTAGTTATCACTAATCTATACGATGGCCCATAAGTCTCTTAAGAACCAATCTTGAATCAAGTTTACTCAGTGAAGTCTGTCAAGAAGCACCTCTTCTCTCTATCTTCATACGTCGCACACATGGTTTGGCATCAAGCATTAAGAATAATAAATAAATTGTGGTCATGGTATTAATGAATTGGTAACCGATTCCTTTCGAAATAACGAATGATTCGATAATTGGCTCTAATGGCAGAAAGAGTGAACAAAGCAAAGTTTGAAACACATAACACCTTTTTTCGATTTCTCTTTCATCCGTTTCCGCCAAAGTGCTCATAATCCATATATTAATATTCTGAGTTCGTTCTAAACGAGAAAACTAGTAAATCTTAACAGTTATGGGCTGTAACTTGATTAAACAAAGTGTCCGTGTACGCAACCATGTTCATTTTCTTTGATCTGAGTGTYATATTAATTGTATTTTGTGTGTGTGGTAAAGTGATATTCGTTGTACTGCTTGTTTTCGGTATATAAAAGCTGTAAAATATGGAATTTCTTTTCGTTATTAAATGAAAAAGCTGAAGAAAGCAAATATAGTTTTGGTTGAAACTGGTCAATTTTTCTTTAAAATTATTATAACGAAAGAAGAAGTTCTAACTCGAGATCTAGTTAATTTTTACGAACGTTAAGAAATCGGTAATAAAAATAAAAGACGTCTGTTAGAAGTAAGAAAAGAAAAAAAAACTGTTATCACTTTAGGAAGGCAAACTTTTGCGGATATCTCACGGCGAGGAATATTTGCACAATTAAAATCAGCAGGGAATGCGAACATCAGTTACGAAACCCGCCGTTCAATGAATCTGGGGATCGAAATAAAAGACTTGAGCGACTTTCACAATGAGTATAATTTAATAATCTTTCTCCTCGAGAAAAAAAACTTCTGAGGAAAACATAACAATTGCGCTCTTTTATCTAGATCTTTCTTGTAAATAAATAATACGTAGTTGTACAGTTTTTGTGACAGAATTCTAAGATAACAAACGCTCTCTTTTTCTTCAATTTTGTAATAATTCCTATTAATTTCAAGTTTAAGTTACTCACTCATCGACGCCAGCATATGAGTCTCCTTCGGATAAAGCCTTCTTGCCACTAAAGAAGTCCATGTTCGTCGTTGGACAGACCAAGCGTTTATGCCGCTTTATTTGCGTTAGTGTTATCAGTTTAACGTTTCCTCTGGATAATATATTCAGCCAATTCTAATTTTGTCCTTGTATATTTGCATATTATCGCTCGTATGTCCAAACGAATGGAGCGGAAGCAGCAATCTTATCGCCAGCCTCTTCCGGATCGAGATCGGGGACCTCAGTGCTGAATACTCTTCGTATTATAAACGCAAACTGTTTGAAGAATCTTCTAATCAGTTTATTTGTTCCTTAACTACGATTTGTGTACGTCAAAAAATCATTATGATTTGCTTGTGCCTCAGGGTATCGCTGGTGAATGTCACCTTTTTGTAACAATCCTACTGCTCCTTTTTTGTTTTTTTTTTTATTTAATAAAACAAGGTGATTAATTTTGTTTTTTCTCTTTATTTCAATTTTATTTCGGAACCAAGGTCTCATTTTTTCCTATAAAAGTTTTCTCCCTCTCTTTTGTTATTACTTGATTATTTTACGTTCTCCCACTCATTATCATATTATTCAAAGATAGATTAATGATTAAAGCGGGTTCTTGAGTGCAGATTTTCCCTCAATTAAACACACGTCGTTTAAAATTCCCCAAAGTCGAAAGGCTAACTTTATATCAAACGAAATTTCTTCATCTTTCTCAAAATCCTAAAGGATGATTTCCACCCTTTTGTCGCGCCAACGTAAAACCCTCAAGACCCTACATCGTATTTGTCACTATCCTTAAACCATTCCAGACAGATTTTATTATATTATGATAAATTATAACTTTAAAGACCTTTTACTTCAACGAAACTAGTTAATATTTATAGATTATAGGCACTAAATGTCAAGAAATACTTTCCTAATATCCTAGTTACTAAGAAATTCATTATTATCCTGTCCTGGCCTGTCAAATGAAAAAGCAATTCGTCTATATCTGGAGGGCGGGCAAAGACTTTTAAACACCGAAAGTTTTTATATATCAATAAAACGTACTGAATATTTAATAACTTTGCTTTAAATAACTCCTATATTTTTTGAAATGTTTTTTATAAGAATTCACAGGGTTTTTTTTCGTACTTTACTTGCTAATCTTTTAAACCACATTGATTTATTTTATCGCTATTTATCACAAAGTTAACAATAATGGGAGAGAGACTAATATAGATTTATTTTTAATATAAAAGATAGTTTATCTGTGAACAACATTGAAGTAAATATTTACTAAAATGAAATAACATTTTTTTAATCAAATAATTATTAAAGTCAATCCCAATTTCAAGCAAAGCTAGTATTGTTGAGATGCAAACATTTCTCACCGTAACAACAGTTTTGCAGTTTTATAAATTCAAGGCGGCGACAGAACCTTCAAAGCTAACGAGGTTTATAATACCATTATATTAAGTTTGAATATTAAATGTTATAGATTCCTTTCAGCAATTTGGAATTAATGTTAATCTGGAGGACAAAACAAAATGGAATTGTCAACCAGCTAAGTAGAAGTACAGTGAAAACTACCAAAAATAAAATGAAAATAAAAAAATATAAAAAAGAAGCAAAGTGCGTAACAAGGTTTGCACTTTGCATCAGAATAAGTATACACGGTTTTAAACGATTTTCACGTCTTTTGTGGCCGCCTTCGTCTTTACACAATCTGAAAAGCAGATCATTATATATCTAGAACATTCTACCATACACGAACCGAACCAAAAAAAATAATGAAAAGTTAAGAAATAAATAATACAATAATTGCGGAGAATAATCCTCGAGCTCTTAATGCATTCTACATTAAGATAACAACAGGACTAAGTCATCAACGTATTAATAGGTTGGTGTTGGCAAAATGTTTTTCTGATAGTATAGCTTTAATAATTAATCAATAATATTGTTTTTACAGCTACATTATTATTCCGATCATTATTTTTTGATGTGTTGAAAATTAAAAGCAACAGTAATTGGAAAATTGTTCTGAAAATGTAATAGATAGTTGATCAATAAGTATCACTGAGCTTGCGCACAGCCGATCTGCATGCAATGGAATGTATGTAATAACTCTGAGCATGCGCAGTGTAAAATGTCTGTCATTCTGAGCATGCGCAGTCTACAAAAAATGAAATATATGTTATTCTAAGGCTGCGCACTGTCGCTTTACATGTTTATGTTATTCTTAGCATGCGCACAGCCTGCACTGAACATGCGCAGTATAGGCACTTGAAAGTTTGTCATTTTTAGCATGCATGCTATCGGCTTACGAATGTATGCCATTCTGAGATGCACACAGAATTGCAGTCAAAGAAATGAAGAAATGTAGTTACCATGAGCATGCGCACTGTACGCCCATAAAATATTTTTCTTACTGGGCATGCGCACTGTCGACACTGTCGACATACACATGCAAGTCGTTTAGAGAATGCGTACACCAAACATACAATGGAATATATGTTATTCTTAACACACGCACTGCCGGCTTACACAGAAATGTCATTCTGAGTATGCGCACACCAAACAAACACAATCTCGTACCCAGAGCCTGCGTTTCTATACCGGAAGTCCAAGAAATCCTGGTCTCAAAAAATGGATTATGTCATAGCCCTTGTTCTTCGCCGCAGGCCAGAAAAAACGCAGGCTCTGGGTACGAGATTGCAAACAGACAATGAAATATATGTTATTCTGAATATGTGCACTGTCGGATTACATATTTATGCTATTTTCAGCATGCTCACAGTATACAGATGATGAAATATATTTTATTCTGATCATGTGCAACGTAGTCTCACAAATGTTTAGGAATTAAGTATTTCTTAGAGTTGTAACTCGGCTTTAGTTCAATTATCATGAACTTCTGTGCGAGTATTGATCTTATTCATTGGCCTTTTTCGTTGAGGTTTTTCAGTATTGAATCTGCAACTACTCCGCGGTCAGAGATAAAACTTCATAGTATTTTACCCTTGTGTAGTTCATCGGTTATCCATCTCAGTTTACTGACAAATAAAACTGCGATGCAAAAAAGGAAAGACTCTTTTTCATCGGAAAGATTTCTTCCGAACAGGATTTGTAAAACTGGCGCGCAAACTGATGGTAATCGGAAACCGCGCGTGCATAATTTTGGTAAGAAGTCGGTCTTAAATAGCAGATTTTCAAGGAGTATTTTAATAAATAAACATGTCTGAGACGAAAATTCATTATAACCATCCGGCATACAACTTTTTCAAAAATTACATCTCGATCACGCAAAGTTAATCAACTGCTTGCAATCATGATTTCCACCGTAAGCGCTGTAACTTGTTTATTTAATCGTCACGCACCCCGCAATCTGTACTTCTTTAATAATAATGCAATGATATGAATTACTAGGTAGGTTTGTCGGTTTAGAAATGGGTGCTTAAATATGAAGACAATATTCCGGCAATATTGTAATGAGGTGAGTTGCCGTAAAGCGGACTATTACTACTTTGATAGTAATACTAGTCTGCACGAATAGAAAATTTTAGCCCGTATAATAATAATAATATCTTAATAATAGTCTTAAATAAAATACTGAAGAGACTTTGAAAACGTTTATAGAAAGAATAGAAACGCTTGTATTTAAAAGGATGTGCTTATTATGATCAACAGAGGAACAAAAGAATTGTCAAAAATGTCTCAAATTTCTGAATAGTTCCATTCAACTTAAAACCTATTTTCGATATTTTTATTGTGTTGGTTATAGACCAAAGTGAGTAGATATGAACTCGTTTAATATTTGGACTGTTTTGTTTTTAGATATTAGTAAGTATAGAGGTAAGAGCTTTCAATATTTGGACTGTGTTGGTTTTAGACGCAAGTCAGTGTATAGCTAAAAATCGGTTTGTATGTATTATATCAAAGGAGGTGCAATTCTACAAACATTAAATAAGAGCTAAATGATACTATGGTTAACCATACAGTCACAAGGCTAGCACGGGGATTTGGTTTAAGGAAGAGAGTGTTAAGTAAAAGTCAGAAATTTTAAATTAAAAATTTACATGCCGGATGAGAAACGTCAGTTTTTCATCCCTTTTTTCATAAGATAAATCATTTTCGTACCTTTGCTCTTCTGTATCACTCATTTTTGTCCTTTTCCCGCACTTTCCAATGGAATTCTCTAGCCTCAGAGTCTAGATTTAGATGATGATTTCCTAACTCAACACACTGATTGTCTGCTCGATAATAAACCACTTCAATTACATAGGCATTCCTATAAAAATTTCAGAGATATCCGAGCCAATCGAATTGCTTTAAATCTCCCCGGCTGAAAGATTAGGGACCATAATTAATGAAACCAACTGATTGAGATAGATCGTCAGGCAACACGSCGGGAGCGGAGACCAATGTTCTTTGTATCACAGCCAGCATCGACGAATCTACTCATAGAAAAACTCTTTCCAGCTACGAACTAGAAGTTTTTTAAAACTTCTCATTGTTTTTGTCTTCAACGTTCCGGGCTAACTYGGGAGGGAGAAATGCTGTTCGTACCGAAAATAATCACTCATTATGACTAAAAATTTTTGTCGACTGTGATGATTTTAATTACGGATTTACTTGTTTTTAGAATGCAACGTAAACGACTGGCTAAACGTTACTGCTCCCGAGCGYGTTTTTAGTTTTATGTTTAATCTATTCGCATGACAATGAGATGATGACTCCTAAGGCCGAAAACTGTATATGGATGTAATCATTCCATTATTCATATGCAACCACTGACCAGATATATTCGGTCGGGTATCGGCACAATTGATGTTATCTCTTTGTTGTTGTGTTCCAAGATACATTATTCATTACCAGTTTTAGCTCATCGATCAATAGATCTAAATTTCTATGCAATGTATAATTAATTTTTGCTTAAATAGATAGTTTTTATATTGCTCTATCTACACGGTATAGTTTCGTGCAAATCGTTCTCGTTAGACTGAGCACAATGTTTTATTATATCTTTAGATAGTATCACAAGTATTAGTGTACCTTGTCGTCATGGATCTATTTTGTTCTACAGCTATGATAAATCAAGCTACCCACAAAGCAATGAAATACCAGGAGTTCAAGCCAGACCGAGATGCGTAGTTTAAATCAGTAATAGATACCCTAATGCCCATCCAAACTAAAGCGTTTAAATACCGACGTATAATTTTCGATGCGTCTTGCGCATGCGATCACATGAAAACGATCAAAACCGTTAAGCCTTTTCATCGAAGACGCATATACTATTAAAAGAAAAACGTGAAGAATAACGCGCGCGCGCTGGAAGCTTTCGATATAACGCATTCGGCAAAAACTGAGCTTTTCGAGATCTCATAAGTGTGGACGTGACCTTAGTTCGAAGGTCAGCTCCGGCCAGTGTTGTTTACAGGATTATTCTATAAGCCTTTCTATCTAAATGCATYAATACAAAGCACCGATGACGTAATTAGTGGTGGTGGGTGTGTGCCAGAAAGGGAGGGAGCGAATCCCCCTTAAGTATAAAATACAGTCTCGATTTTACGAAGTTTTGTTGTTGTTTTTTTTGTTGTTTTTTTCGTTGTTTTTTGTTTTTTTGTTTTTTGTTTTTTGTTTTTTTTTTGTTTTTGTTTTTTTGTTTTTTTAAAGAAAAGTTGAAATTTTACATTAATGTATGCGAAGATCACAAAAGACTTCTGCGACAAAGTGCATTTCTACTCTGTTGATTTGGCGAGAACTTTGCGCGCGCATGCAGTAATCCGGACCAATTTTGCGCATTTCACATTTGGTTTGCAATTAATTTAACGCAGGCAATGTCAATCATTATGAAGTTGTTGCTCTTCATGAACTCTAATCAAAAGAGCGTGGTATCTCGGATTCATACAAAATTCATGTAAACAAGCCACCCACAAAATACACTATAAAATTTAACCTCCAATTATGTTAAAAATTTCTTTTCATTTTTAATGTAGTCTTACCTTCGACAAATATCCAAGAGCTTCATTTTAGTCCTTGCGGGTCTCTTCTTCAGCACTTTGAAGAGGATTTACCTATCAAAGGTTGTTTACAATTAACCAGTTAGATTGGTGACTTGATAGAGGGTCATTTGGAGATAACGTGCTTTAGATATGTAAGCCGTTATCATTTTTTAACGTTAATTGTATTAGAGGATCAAGGAAAAGGATTTAGTTGTCAACTTGTCTTTGTTTTCAAAGGTATGGAAGAGAATGCTAGAACATTCCATGTGAAAGTGAAAACTAAAAGCAAAACAGTTAAAATAAAAATGAGCTCGAAAAAGAAAAGCAAAGCACATGTTAATGTCTTTTTTTAGGAAGAATATAAGCTAAAATCACGTGGGTAAGTTTGCAGGACTGTACAGTCCAAGAATTAGAACACTGCGATAGCCATACTTTTATGACGAAAAAAAGAAATGCATCCAACTGCAGTAAAGTAGAAAGTAAAACACTATACAATGATATACTAAAACAGAAATAAAGAAATGGCGCAGATGTAATCAAAAAAAAAAAACAATTAAAAAATAAGTAATAAAGCTTAAACTGGCTTCTAGGTTATATACATTTGTATGCAAAGTGCAAACTCTGGATTTGGTAAAACTAAAATGAGAACTATTATCATTGTAAACTTTTCAACTTTTCTTCTCGTCCATAATATTATTTCAGTATTCTAGTAATACGATAGTACAAGCAAAATCATATGTCGCAACATTAAACATACAAAATACAAATATCGTTTTTATCTTTAAGACTTTTTCAATGAATCATAAACACGAGCTCATATATTGAAATCTCCTAAAGCTAGGAAAGAAGTTCGTGAACGATGGGATATCGTCAAGCTGTAGAATAAAATATAAATTAGCCAAGTAGTATTTTCGATTCAGACCATTGTGTGAGTCTTGGAATTTTGGTGAACGATTTAAAGCTAGCAAAGTGACAAAAATGTCCTGAAAGAAGGGCATAAAGCTCTAAAAACGCTAGACTGTTCTTTGGCCGAAATAAAGTGGAAACGAAAAATAATGTAATGAAATTGAAAGTGGGTTGCAATTAGAATTACAAGCTGGGCCGTCTTTCTAACTCAGTCTTAGAGTTTGTTTACCTTTTCTGCCGCTACTAAAGCTGGTTGTGATCGCTTTTTCTGTGGAAACTACGACGATAAGCCGTGTTTCTAATGAAATATTCAACCGCCGCTTGAAGACTTTACTGACTCCAGCTGAGGCTACTGACGTCACTACCTCTAATTTTGTCTGAGAGCGCTTTGTCAGATATTAAGATTCAAGAGTGAACACAATCTTAAATAGAACAGTAAATGGGACACTATTATTAAAACCGAACTTCTATTAAGACTAAATCTTTGCGTGCTTATTGAGTTAATTTTCACTTGCTTGAAATATAAAGAGCAAACACTCATTTTGAAGTATAAAAAGCCACTCTTCAGTCAACATTTGACATTGTGATGTTTTCCGTAACTATAGGCAACCTAGGCAAAACATTCCAATTTTCATTTTGTTTTTATCGAATGTGGGAATAATAACACTATGTAAAGACATATTAAGTCGATAGAATTACTATGGTCGTCTAATGAAGATAAAGTGAAGCTAATGCGAAAGATGAAATTTATAAAGCACTCGAAATATTGATCATTGTTTGAAGAGCTGACTTCAACCCACACTATCAGCTGATGTTCATGGAAATTTCAAAAATCGCCACATTATAAATTAATGAAAGTTAAAGTTAAACGTCAAATTTCTCAGCCTTGAAAAAATATTCATGAAATGATTTAAACTTCAAGCCAATAATTAAAGATTTTAGGAGACTTTTCTTATAAGAAGAGGCTATCAGACGACACAATTGATCATTTTTGCAGTATGTGTCGATGGATTGCTTTACCGGCTTGCGATGTTTACACAGTAAAAACGAAAACAAACCTTCATTTGCAACTATACTTCAGTCCAAACTTCCTTCCACAATTTGTTACTCCAAGTACGTTGTAACAATGTTCAAATTTAAGTCTTATTAATCTTACTTTGTTCGTCTGCTTTCTGCTTTTATTTCATTTCCTAGTTTTCTCTTACTCAAACGAATTACTTCCTATTGCTAAAATATTCTTATTCAAATCCATCATTGCATTTAATTTGAATTTTCTCGTTTTAGCCTCAGGGCTTCGTAACTTGAATGAATTAATAAAAAGCTTTATTTTAGCAGGGTATTCCCTTCAGTAACGAAAGTACTGCTATCAACGGGAGCCCAAACTTATGAATATGAACTGAAATGTTCCATTTTTTAAATTTCCTGCAGTGCAAGAATAGTAATAATGATAATAATTATAAATATACAATATCTAAATATATTTGCAAYAAATTAATAAATAAAATTAAAATAAAGTAATAATAATAATGATAATAATAATAATTGATTTATTCCAAAAAAAATTAAAGGTTTGGGCAAATTGCAGTACAGTACAGTTCGCACTCGCGTTGAATATCTCCAGAACAATTATTCAGTCCTATCAGTACTCATAGGCTGTGACGATTGTTATCGCTCATGCTTGATACCATCGTGGAGTTATATAACGTGACAATACTATAAAATCATAAGAAGTTTATTCATATGCGATGGATTTTGGATCCCATCATCGAGTCAATTAAAGATACATCATCATACCTTAATTCAGTTTTAGTCGGATCAACTCAGTACTTTTTACAAGCTGCTTTACCTATATTTCAAAAGTGCGAAGCTATTCATACTCTTAACTTAACCTTAATAGAGTGAAAAATTAAAGATATTGCTCAAAGCTTTTAAATATTCAAGTATGAAGTGATAATTGTACTGAACTCTGCACTGAATTATATGTTTTACACTGCACTTCGCGATCTCAGTACATAGCAACAGTTTTTGGCTCCTTGAAATAAAATGAAAAATGTGCCCAAGCGCTTTTGAAAAATATGCCTTACAATTAGGAGAAACGTTGTTGGAGGGGTGATACACTGGCAATAGGATTGCAAGATGCTGCAATATGTAACGAAAAGTAGAACGAGCGGGTTATCGAAAACAAAGCAATAACAGCAATAATCGATTTATTTATGGATGTATAGGCAAATACAGTCTAATGCACAAGCTGGGAAAACAAAAAGTGGTGTAAAGATTTTCTTAATTGAGTAGCACCTGCTGTAATTAACCCATCCAGCTTATTTCAGTACTTAACAGCTTATAGCATCTTTGCTAGCAATCAAGTTATAACTACTTGAATGCTGTCTTTGGCAAATTAAATTAAATTAAATTGTCTATATCTTACATGCATTAGATTCAGTATTTCGTAGCTGTCCAACTTAAAAAAATCTACTGATTAAGCATGATTCATTCTTCATATAGTAGTAGCAATTACTGGATGGGCATTAACAAGACTGTTATTTTTGCAACGGTTAACGTCGTTAAGTTTTGAAAAGATATAACAACAGAAAACTTAACGATTTGGAAAACCAAATAAATGGTAGAGCGGAGTTATAGTTTTCAATCAACAAAAAAAAGTGTTTGCCATATCATATCGATGATGACTTGTGATAGTGTTTTTTCACATCATATAGGTACTGATAAAATCAATAAAAAACTGTCGCCCGGCAATGTGAGGTAATGCCCGCTCGCTCTAGGTGTTTGACAATAACCAATAATGCGCTCACAAGGGGAACAAAATAGGCAGTGATAATGGATGATGCTAACCATACTTAGATTTTAGCGCTACGAAGATAGCCAGCCATGTTGGATGATGAAATCCAATATGGCCGTCGCTTTGCTGTTTCTTTAACAAGTGAAGCCTCTTACCTTTTTTTCTCGCATATAACTTGACCGTACGATATATACGAAGGACTAATGAAGTTTCGAACTCTCGAACTGATTCGGTATTTAGCTCAAATTTTTTCAAAAAAAATCTCTACCAAGACAACAACGATTGCCTAGTACGTCTCTCACTGAGTATTTATGTTTTAACGAATTGTTGTATCCCCTTTGGAAGCAAGCCACGAGCTTACATGGTTGTTGAATAAATAAAAGTAATGGATTGTGGTTACGCTTTCTGGGCCGGTGTATTTTAGTACCTGTCGTAAACTAACTGTAAACTACGCTATATGATTGAATAAATGAATAACAAAGGCTGAAAATTGAAACTGAAAAATTGAATTTTTTTGTTTAAATAATAGATTAAAAAATAAATTTGGTCATAATTCATTCACTCAATTTAAATGTTTATTTATACATAAAGAAAACAAGACTGAGTCAAAATGAGGTTTGATTTATCAATTATGGATATTAATTTTGATTTATTGAAATTATTTACGCCCAAACTTCTTTTGTTATTTGTTAAACCGCTTAACCACTCTACGCCCTGCTGAAGAAAAGAGCTGGAGCTCGGCTGGAGCTCAGTCATGAACACGTGGTGTAAAAATGGACCACGTATCCATTAAAGTTTATATTTATAATATTTGAGGTTGCAGGATAAATTATTGTTATCAGCGGGTTGTAGTAAATCTAGCGTCTCTCTTATACGTACAGGCGGGAAAAAACGCCCAAAAGATCTGCAAGGGAGGCTATAGAAGATCCTGACTGTTTTAAAGACCGAAATTTGTAATAATAACTGATAAAATGAATAATAATAATAATAATAATAATAATAATTATTATTATTATTATTATTATTATTATTATTATTATTATTATTATTATAGTACACTCAACAAAATTACTCGACTCTGATTGGTCGAGAGGAGTACAATTATAGCGTTAATTGTACTCCGTAGGAGTACCTAATTAAGTCGCTATGGCAACACGGCCAAAACAATGTCAAAACAATTATTTTCTATCATTTTGTATTTAAATAACATATAAATAAAAGTTTAAAGCCGTAAGAACTAATCTTTTTTATGCATTTCAGTTTCGCGATGGACTGAAAATCGGCCGCCAAATAGACAAAGATGAACGGCGTCGTTTCGCATTTTTTACTGGAATTTTGTTGAGTGAACTATAAACAAAAAATCACACGATCTTCTCGTACAATTTGAAATTAATAGACACTCGTAATGTTTTGAAAGTTCTTTAATTGCACGAGCCTAAAGGCTCGTGCAATTACAAGAACTTTCAATACATTACTCGTGTCTATTAATTTCCAAATTGTACTCGAGATCGTGCGATTTCCTATACTAATAACAAAGCGCTTTACAATTATGATCATTGGAGGACTTAACAGGCTGCACTTTAAATTGTTAAAATTAATTTGATGTTAACAGATTTAACAGAATCCTCAACTAGCCTTTTGAAATTCGGTGAGCTAGATAGCAGGGTAAAATATAGGTAAGAGAATTAAAATTAGGTATCGTATGATCCGATTTCTCCTTTTTCCAAAACCCTCCATTGCGGAAATTCTGTTAACACGAGTCACGTGATATCGATACTTGGCACGTGATCACGAGCTCGTGGACATGTGACTCTTGCTCGCTCACTGCTTTACGACTCAACGCCGTTTCTCGAATCTCTGGAAGTTGTCGCTTTTTTTGTTGCATTATAGTTTTCTTTATCAAGCAATGGCTGACAGTGACATAAGCAAAAGGATTTTCGTTAAGGGATTCAACCGAGAGACAACGGAGAGCGAACTGCGGGTTTTCTTTGAAGAGTTTGGAGTGGTCAAGGAGAGTAAGATTGTGAGGGACAAACATGGGATCAGCAAAGGCTACGCTTTCATAACCTTTGAAAGCCAAGAAGCGGCAGACGAAATCCGCGAAAATGAGGCTCTGGATTTTAAAGAAAAGAAGTTGAGCATAGGGAAGGCAATCCGGAGAAAGAGCAGCCGATCGTATCCCAAGAATTACCATCACTGGCAACCACACCGGCAAGACATGATGCATGATGGCGGCAACCATGGAGTGTTTTACTCGAGTGGAGTTGATGGAAACACAGTGTATTATCCTGTACAACAGCCTCAAATTGTTCTCTTAACCACTCCTCCTTACTCTCCGCAGATGCCTTATCAGTCTCAGGGCCTTTATCAACCACAATCCCATTCATCAAGTCAGCTGTATTCCCCGAATACAGTGATGAATGGTTCCTACATGGCTACCTCTGTCACTTCCCTTCCCATGCAGTGGAATGACTATACAACAGGGTATAACAGAGTTCGTCCGATTCCTAACCACCAAGAGAGTCCATCATCGGCTGAAATAGCAGTTTCTACTGGACAGACCACCCAGATTGTTGGATTAGCTATTTCTGATGGGAACTACATGACGGAGAGCTCAACAGGGGAACCTGTTGCTCAAGTAAGTCATTATTTTATATGTTTAAATGTGGAGTTAGTTTTATCTCAGTTAAATATAATTACAGTTAATTATAGCCAGTTACAGTTACAGTTACTTTAGATAAATAAATATAAAATTAATTTTGTATTGAGATCGTAAGTCAGTCCTAACTTTTTTTTTTTTTTAACTACTACTTGCTGCAAATCCCGATTGCAGTGACAAAGGTACCAATCAAAATATCAAGTTTTTATAAAATCTTTTTGGCAAGAAATAAATGACTCAATGAAAGTATTTAAATTTCAAACTGAACAGTGCTATGGAATGTGAGAATGACAAAAAATAATAAAAAAAGTATAAATTACAGATTTAAAACCCCAATTTTGGTATTCTTCGCTTTTTCTCAGCAATGACGTCATCGGTTTTGGTTTTTTTCGTGGGAGGGGAGGGAGAGATATTTTGGTTTTCTGTGTTTATTAATTCAATCTTTTTCGTTTCGTTCTTTTCCTTTTGTATTTTCCACTTTATAGGCTTTCTTCTTTTTTCTTTCGTCGTTAGTTAGCAACTCATTTCTTCACTTCCTTTCTTTCACTTTTTCAGTTGGTTGCCCTTGACCCAAGCAAGATAAAGGCAGACAAGCCCATACCTGTCCGCTTCTTGAAGCATGAGTGATACCATCACTGTAGCAGCTAGCAAGAGATCGATACTGATCGAGGTTAGAAATAAACCCCAACAGTACAATAAGGATTATTCAGAGCTCATGCAACTGATTTTAAGTAGTTTAAAAATTCCTTTAAAAAACTGTCTTGAGAAATGTTCACGAAAACCCTGTTTTATTATTTTTTATTAGAGTTTTTCCATTGTTTTTTATACTAGGATTGCTGTTATTGTTGTTGCCAAATTAATTAATATTTTCTTTCTTTCTTTCTTTCTTTCGTTTTTTGCAGAGTCCTTGATGATTAGAAATCAAAATGCACTAACAGAGAATACAGTGGTTTTCTTAGCTAAATATCAGGAAACAATCATGATATGTCTCATGGGAACTCCTTTTTTTCAAATTTGGAAGCATTTTCCAATTAAGATTATAAACAATCCATAAAACCTAGGTATATAGAATAAAGCAGAAATATTTTCACTTCAGTATTTTTCAAAATCGGACTCATTTTTAACCTGGAATGTAGTTTCTAAAATCAACTAAAAAGCTGTGCACCCATGATCACTAATTATGATTGTTTCCATACCTAAATCTATTTATAATGATAATTGAACTGCCAATTAATTATATCCATTTTGAGACCTCCTGCAATCACACTGCTGAGGGCCAATCACATTGCAGAAATCAACAGTAATTTCAAAACGGATATAATTAATTCTATAAATGTTTTTTTAATACCTATATCTCATTTACTTCTATTAAATATCAGTATATCATAATGTAAAGTAAGGAATCAAATAGATGCATTTATACATTTTTACTTTAAATTATTATTCTATCTACAGACTACAATAAATAATTAAATAAGTGTGTGAATTATCTTGATCCTTTAATATTAGATTCCCGTTTTTTCAAACGTGACCACGTTTTCATCGTTTCCCTACAATTTCACTTAACCTTTTACAAACCTTCCCGACAAAGACACATATTCTTATTTTAATCTACTACTTGAAGATCATTGCGATTCCTTTTCACTAATTTTAAAGAATTTTTTAATGGTCAACTGACGTTTCACGTTTGCCGTAAACGAGAATCTTAAACTCGCTATTGTTACCATACGAACGGACGTATATCGGAAATGGGGCTGGGTTTTTTTAATGATCGATATTGGAAATTAATGTAGTTGTCACTCTGCTTGAATATAAGGAACAATAAGCAGGTCAATTTAAGTAGCCTGCGCTCAGCCGATAAAAGCCGCTTTCAAGTTCTTAGTTTAAATTACGTGAAATGGAACAAGGTGGGAACGGGAAGAAAAGAGGGTGGTAATCATGCTAACCAACTACAGTACGACCGCAACCGAAAATACAAGTCCTATGTATAACAGTTTTCCTCTTACAATTCATTAAAAGGTTAAAGGTCTTTTCTCCCCTCTCCAGCCCCCACGGGACCGGTGGCCTCTCAAGACCTTCACCTTCAGAGAAAAAAGACGCACAGCGAAAGATACAAAAAGTTTCCTTAGACTTGCGTGCTAAATAAATGTATATTATTTTCTTTACCAGTAAATCAAAAACACGAATGAAAAAAAAAAAAAAAAAAAAAAAAAAAAAAAAAAAAAAAAAAAGGAAAAAAAATGGCATTGGCAAAATTCCACTCTCCCTCCCCCTCCAGAGGAATGTCTCTCTGACAGTGGTGACTGGGAACGAACGAATCCACGTGGTGCAATGCATAGTGGATTCAAATACCGTCTCTGAACCTTCATGTAAACGTTGCCAACTAAACATCAACATTAAATGCATTTTTAACAAGACTGATCAATTGGTTGGAGTCGTGGAAGACAAATCACTGATTAGGGATGGAGTTTACTTGTATTTCAAGGTATTGATGGACATAATTTTAGGTCATATATGTTTGCAGTTAGTGCAAGGTTATTAATATATGTATGCTTTTGTTATTTAGATTTTATTAGCTACTTCAAATTCTGGTAGTCTACAGCTTTTTCTCAAATTTTAGCAGAGGAATGTGTGTATCAATACAGATAATCATTGCATCAAACTAAGAATACTGTGCTAATGCTTTTTGCGGAAGCATTTTGCCTGAAGAGTTGGTAAAAAGCGTACGATTAAAGACAATTTTTACAGATGCATGAAAGAAGTAATCTCCTACATAGCCAGCAACTCATTTTCTTATTGTTTTTTTTTACAGAATCAAAGATCACAAGTGGTTATTTTGATAAAAGAAATGTTGATTGGATGGAATTCAAGCTTTCAAGGAAGTATTCAAAGATATATAGGACATATAGCTACATTGCATGGGATGGAATAGGTAAGTCTTTTCACATTTTGAGTATTAAAAAAATAATTTCAAGTATAAATAAACAAAATTGATGAACTAATGTAATTTAAATTAAGAATGTATAAAGTGTAAAAATTATATATGTAAAAATTATTAAGAATTATTATAATATTATTATTATTATCATATGTCAGGCTTTAATTGTAATCAGTTGTTTATTATACTAAAAATACTATAATTGAAGTTGGAGGATTCATAAGAATACTTGAAATGTTTGTCTGTGACTTAGAAAAACTTTTACGGACAATTGGATGTGTTACAAGGATTTTCTTAAGTGTGCTGTTGATGTTTGGGCAGATGAATTTAAATGTTGATGTTCAGGGCGTGCACACTAGAAACCACACATATTTATATTGATTTATTCTGTATATTTCTGTAAGCTTGATACAGTCGTTCTTTGACTTATGACCTTTCATGGATCACCAAGCATCCAAAAATGTCTTTTGCTGTGTGGGCAAGCTCCAGGGGGTGACATGCCAACCATTCATTTTCCTTCATTCCTTCTCTCCTGCAAATAGTGGTCAAATACTGACACCATATACCATATCAGCAAGCAAGAATGCTGTTGAAAACTTGTGATTCAGATGATGAACATTCTGTATTAGACAGGAAATGTGAATCAAGCAATCACTGCAAATTTTATAACATGATCATAACATGATATCATGTTGCTTCAATACCTGCCCTCGCATCTTTACCTTGACATCCTTGGAGGGGGGCTATATATAGCCACCCTTTTTTTTTCTTTGCTCACTAGTCTCTTATATTTTCAAATCTTAGCTCCCCTGCTTTTACCTTTTGCATAATTGAGTATCTTGTATTTTCCAGTCTAAAGCCCCTCGCTTTTCAGCGTGCTCTGCAGTCCTTGATAAAAGCTAGTCATCTTGATTTTTTTCTTGTATCTACATGTATTATTAGTTTTGAGAAAAACTGCCTGATATTTTAATTATACTTCAGTATGAATTTTGCTACTTGCTTTTATTAATGCATTAAGTGCAAGAAAACCTTATAATTTTGTACCTTGGGCTGTAAATGTTATTGCTATTTCTAGAGAGTGGTGCATGAATTAAAATTTGCTATGAATTTTTTATCTTTTTTTGAATTGGACTTATATAAATCTTTTGAAGGGTTACCTTTTGAGGCTATAAAGCATGTGTTATACATTCAGATCAGGAGTTCAACTCTCATTTTAGTAAGATTTGATATGGAGAAATGTTTTACTGACATTTTCTAAAAGAAAAACAAGATATTTCACTTATAACGATAATATATATTGAACCTTGGAAAAGCATCAGTGTAATTCATATGAAGAATTAAATTTCAGAGAGTATTTGCATATTCTTAATATTTCATCACCTATGGTATTTCATAACTTCATAACATATACATTATAAATGGTCTATGCTGTAGACATTTCAATCTTTCAGCTTGCTTATGACAGTTGCAGCTTAATTGCTTATACCGTACCAGTCTTTCAAAATGATGTCCATCCAATTTCCAAAATAAGATTTCAGGTTTTTTGATTGATTGTTTTTTTTTTTATTGTTTTCTTTTTGTTCTTTATTTCTATATTTTGATGTCTGTCTGTTTCTCTTGCATCATCACCTGTACGTGTTTATTATCATTATTATCATCATCACAATCACCAACCATTGTCATCATCAGTCATCATCATCAATGTTGTAATCACAAATGCCAGCATCATCAATCATTATATTGATGATAGCTATCACCTTTGTATGTCATTATCATTCTTGCCATCACCAATCATTGCCAATATCACCATCACCAATCATTGTCATCATTGTCATCAATTTGGTTATCACCTAAGTCATTATCACCATTAACAATCATTGTCATCATCAATCATTGTCATCATCAATCATTGTCATCATCAATCATTGTCATCATCAATCATTGTTATCATCAATCATTGTCATCATCAATCATGGTCATTAATATTGTCATCACCTAATTAAGTCATCACCATCACCAATCATTGTCATCATCAATCATTGTCATCATCAATCATTGTTATCATCAATCATTGTCATCATCAATCATTGTCATTAATATTGACATCACCTGTCATTATCRTCATCACCAATCATTGTCATCGTCAATCATTGTCATCGTCAATCATTGTCATTAATATTGTCATCACCTAAGTCATTATCATCATCACCAATCATTGTCATCATCAATCATTGTCATTAATATTGTCATCACCTAAGTCATTATCATTATCACCAATCATTGTCATCATCAATCATTGNTAATATTGTCATCACCTAAGTCATTATCATTATCACCAATCATTGTCATCATCAATCATTGTCATTAATATTGTCATCACCTAAGTCATTATCATCATCACCAATCATTGTCATCATTAATCATTGTCATTAATATTGTCATCACCTAAGTCATTATCATTATCACCAATCATTGTCATCATTAATCATTGTCATTAATATTGTCATCACCTAAGTCATTATCACCATCACCAATCATTGTCATCATCAATCACCATTATCAATGTTATCACCTATGTTATCATCACAATCATTGCCTTGTCAATCATTATTTTCATCAGTCATCACCATACACCATCACAGATTAACATCATTACTACTGTGGGTTTCATGTACATCATCAACAACATTTGCCGAGCGGTTGA